TCTACCGGCCCAGCCGGGTGCTCTACGGAACAAAGTCTACGCTTGACCCAAATAACGCGAGGCAATAACGTGCGCATTTGTATCAACACTAACTGAATGGGAATGGCAGACAGTGCGTTATTCACGAACCCCGATATACCGTCACAAAACCTACAGGAAAACCTCATTTTCTCCACTTTAATCAAGGGGAGCGAGCCCCGACGTCCACAACAATTTGGGACGCGGTGGTGGTAAACAGGTCGCCTGAAATGAAAACTCCAGTTTTGAGCGGTTGAAAAGAAACGAGTGCCTGCCGTGCATATTCCCTATGGTGAGGTCACCATGATGTTATCGATCTGTGTGCTCACTGTACGACAATACATACCTCAAGTTTTAAAACCCCAAACCGGCCACAGCGTCAACACGGCCGCTTCACGTCAGCCGTGCGATGTTATATCCAAATTTCCAAAAATTCGTTGTGAGGTGAAAAGACCGTTTTGAACGTGTGAATCCTTGTGTACCGAAACTTTACACGTCCGGGGAGGCCTACGCCATTTCAATCTAGATTCAGAAATCGATTCAGCCCTTAAACAAGAACATGCTGACATCATCGAAATTACACAATTTCATTACAGCCAGATGCTTTCCAGTTTGATTGGTAGGCCTATACTAGACATGTTGTAACATTTCAGAAAAATTCAAATTCTAAAAGTACCAACTTTCCAGAAAACGTTTGTATACAAAAAAAAAATTGCAACAGAAACGTTAAAACGATTCCACAACTAATCTTTCTCGCCGGTTTCTGTGTATGCATCGAGCGCGTGTTGGGTCAGTTGGCTTGAGGGATTTGTTTGTGCATAATAAACCTGATTACCGATGGCCGGTGATCTCACGATTCACTGGACGGTTAATTGCATTCGATTCGCCCGTATAATGAGATGCATGTACGTGCACTTTTAATATGCTTCCTTCACTTCCTGTATTATTCTTTATATAATAATCACTACGGGGATCTGCCATGCATGCTAAGAACGTTGTAATGGTTCTGAACGAGAAATTACGATAACATGCACCAACACTATATAACACACGTATATAGGGGACCAATACGGCAAAGTTCCGTGAAACTTGATATAGCTATAGACCTCCGCAGACTCACTGTAATAGAAACCAATATCAGCAAAATATCTGATTCACAAAATATTTCACGGAGGCAGTGCCCGATCCGATAATACTGTGAGTAAGACTGTATTAAAAGCCTCCATAGCTAGCTCTATAGCTGTGCGAGCTATGCTCAAATACATTCTTGTATGGGATGTGTATCAGCGAATGCGCACGTTATATTGAGTGCTTGCGCTTGTGCAGCAAACGAACGTAGAGTCTATCGCCTGCCTCGTATCGTGTTACCAATGCCATTTTTATCCCATCCAAGCGTAAGGGTCAGTGTGCCCCAAACCTGCCGTGGCCTGGTTACAGCAGAGGACCTTGAACAACGGCCAGTTAATCACAACTTTTTAAAACCGTTTCCAAGATGTGGCCACGTCGACAAAAAAAAATTGCATAAGTCGGCTTTATTGACAATGGAATGAATTTTATCATGACATCCCTGCAATATATTTGTCACGGTACTTGATTATGGATTATAGTTTTGACATTTTTTGTCGACTATAGCAATAATGAAAGGCAGGGCTAGTCTTATAATTACATTTTCTTAAGGACTGAGATTTTACAACGCTCATCATAGTTTATAGTGGTATTTAAAAAAAATCATGATTGAAAGCAACACATCTTGACATTACAAAATACAATTACGTTGAAATATACAGTGATGTGACATACCTTAAGTGTAAATGTCGCCAATAACGCATTATCAAGTTGGCTTGTAACGTCTTGTCTACGAAATAGTACCAGAATGTTGCTACGGTATGTGTGGCGCGTACGTGTGTACGTACACGTACAGTACATACATGTATGTAATGCATTCGTCGCTATTCCAGAGAACACCATAGCTGAATGCGGTAGTAACAATACCAAAGTATAATGGCAAGTATAGTGGTCAGTAAAAATGGCACAGTGGTCACTGAAAAAGGCAGGCACGTGAGTAGCCAATATATATCACCCTTCCAAATGCAGAGGAATATATATCCCAAAGCATTCTTTTATAAATATATTTAAACCGAGCTTTCATAGTGAATAATGATATATTCTTAAATTATGGGTGTGTCTTATTACAATTTACAACATGCGAAAGTAAATTTATGCATTCCAGTTTACAACATGCGAAAGTAAATTTATGCATTCCAGTTTGCAAAACGTGCACACCAAACTGCAAAGGCAAGTTTTCTGGGCAAATTTAAATTAAAAAACGTGACTGTATTATGCGAGCTTGCAGTTTTACGATATAAATTAATTATTCAGCAGAGGAAAATAACTTGTTCGATTTGACTAAGTGGTTCATTTCAATAATGTCTGCAGCCATACGACCGTTTTTAAAATTCATTCAAACGTATTCCCTTTATACTTTGTATAGGGTGAATAGAACCATGGAGCTAATGTCGTCGTTAGAAAAGATTGGATTTTAAGTTTCCATTTTCCCCAAGTAATAATAATAGAAAAATGGTTTCAGGGAAAAGAATATGCGAATTTACAGCAATATTTATATGTATGGGAACCTTGCTTTTAACACATTTTTCAAGAAGTCTGCACAATCACTTTGACCGAACGTTGCAAACCCCGATTTTGTTCACAACACATTAGTGGTACAGCACAGCTCGTAAGATTTCAAGTAGAGAGATATCTAGTGGTCATATTTTGACAATGTAGGCCTTAAACCTGCAGTTCCAAATTCACTGTCGGCGTCCTAAATACGGATTACCGTCACATTACAGATATTAAAAGCCGTGGCACCACGGGACATGATTGATCATCGCTATGCGTTGGGTCACCGTCTCCTAAATAAACATCAATTCATGTTTTTAGCGGAACATGCCAAAAATCGCCCGCTGCATGCAGGACCCGACCGGCCGGACACACTGCATGGAATAAAGAACCAACAGACGGCGCGTTTTACCGTGTGCAATGTGCTACCGAGTAAAATGAGTGTGTAAAGAATTAATTTCAGACAAGTTTCCCCCATACAACATACGGAATTGGTCAAAATGGCTCCCTCACAGATCGTAGATTTATAGACGATGCATTTAGTGCAGTACCCAATCTAGGAACAAAATTAAGCACGCCGTTCCACTCATCAAAAACACATGGAATAGCAAGAACCCCAGCTCATTAACATGGATACTGCAGATGATGTTTCGCAGGGAAAACCATAACTTGATACAGGTTTTTGGATTTTAAATGCGAATGACTCAAATGCTATTGCGGAGTCCATTCAGTCCAACTTAATAGTAGCTCTTGCACATTTTAATACGAACGTTACTATAACAACACAACATTGTAGTTCTACTGAAAGACTTTTTTTTTAAAATAACACCGGGACTTTACCGTTTTCAATATCTATTCAGTTGCAAATGCGCAAATATCATGTTCCATAATGCTCATTATATTAATCACACAGTTGTGCCGTCCCCGACCAAAACTCATCCAAAAATATAAACCAAAACAAAACAAAAAATCAGGTCATGTTGTTTACTTTACGAAAGCGGTCCAGTTAAAACAATTGAAAACACCGACTGTCAACGTTGACATCTGTCCAAGAAATATATTGTCATTATGTGACATTATGTCTTAGTTTATCTGCCTCAGATATTGAGAGAGTTAAAAAAAAAAGGCGGGAAATTGTTGTTTTGAACCAGACGGTATAATATGGGCGTCCACTCTGATGTCAATTATAGTGCCAATTAAATTAGGTATAGACACACACCCACGTCACAGGCTACGCAATAGTCTCTACCCACACTAGTCTTACCAAGATTGTTTTCCTATCAAATGTTAAGTTGAATACTGTACGCAAATTCACACACTTGTATTACAAATGCACATTTTTCAAATAGTCTCAAGTACATCCCTCGCCTAAATATTTTCAACGGTAATATTTTTTATTGCAATATTTGTCACGACAACATAACAGCACATTGAATATATTTGGATATGTGTGTTATTGACTTAAGAATACTACATGAACATTTGAGTTCCATAAAATATGTTTAGTTTCCTTTCTTTTTTACAATTAGAAGAGACTACTATATTTAACAAGGCAGAACGAGCAGTAAAAGAAATTGAAGAAATTTCAAAGGGATTTTTTTTTAACTGGTGCCAATCCACGAGGGTCCATATCCGCTTCATTTAAATACATAGACTCGCAGTCGGATCAGAAACATGAGTGAAATTAAATTCAGTGTATCTACGTGTATGAGAATTAAATAACGGATTTTTACCAATGTTGTTTTTTTTCTTCAGGAAACGTGAATTTATAATCGCTGTTTTTGACGTCAAAGGCTAAAAATACCACAAATGGTTGACATTTTAGACGATGGATTTTTTTCATTGAGCACCGAGTATTTTAACACTTTTTTATGCTGAAATTCATAATTCAATTTTTGAACTGAATGTAGTTAATGTGTTCTTTATTTTCTTCTACTCTGAAATGAAATGAGTTGCCAATAACTAAGTGGCGAGTATCGTTTCAGCCTCAAAAACGCGCTAAAAATATCCGCATAATATTGTACTCTGGAAATGTACATTTACAATCCATCACCTAAAGTCATCAGAACTCCGCAAACACGTCATTGGGGTTTTTTTATACAGAGAATTTGGCATGTGACTTTAACATGGAAAATTCTTTCAGATATAATGAAAGAAACGCCTGGCAAGAAACGCAACTACGCTGGATATTTAATTTCAAACACAGCAACGCTCGAAAAGGTCATCCATGTTGCATACTGCACTGAAACGAGTACAAAACACTAGCCCAATGTATGAACACTAACTCAGTATTATCCGACCATACTACATTATACATGTACGTACAGGATACAAAAAGAAAACGCAATCGCTCACATTCTCACCTTATTTTCCTGCCGTTTCAGATAACAACCATTTGACACATTGCCAAGATCCAAGCGGTCACCTCGGTATATATTCCACTTTTTAAGGACAGGTTTAGTATAATGTTGTTGGCCGTCCTCCAACACAAGTCGTGGCAATGGCGAATTCAATGGACGATCTCATGAACGCCGACCGAGACGCCACAACACACGATAGGCCGTTGTAATCTCAACACACACGGCGTACACTGAGCGTGAGTACCCGGTAACGTACTACGGGCACGGAAACACCACAATAAATGAAGCCACCGCGATGTTTGCAAGAATAGTCGGGTCAAATCAACACAAGAAATTGATATCATGCATCGTAACACCAAAAAAATCAAATGCAAAGTACTCAAGGATGTGAAATGTGTCTCCAGATGGGGTACAATCATAAAGCAAAATTGCGGTTTTTCGGTGGACATTGTTTGGTGATAGAGACGTACACACTCGTCATTACCGCGACTGCTGAAACACACCGTACCGTGCACACAGCAAGCGTGCACGGCCGGCCAGCTCTGCCGAGGCTCGCCCGGTGAGCACCGGTCCAACAGCCCGCTCGAGACGATCGACCGTACTGATCACATCCCGTGCCGTAGAGGGTTGAAACCAGTCGCCAGCAGCCGCCAGTCGATCGGTCGACATCAACGCAGAAACCTCCTTGTATTCAACTGGGAACTTGTGGTCAATCCAGGGCTTCGGCTAAAAGGGAGTCCATAGAATTCCTTGATCCGCATAAACCACACGTTCCGTGCCGTGGTGAGTCACACCGGCCGGTCGGTAGCGTAGCTAGCTGCGTGTGCGTCCGTGAGTTTTGTTTTCGCCGTGGCCGTCTAGTGCGGCATTCATCGAACAGAACTACACAAGAAAACTAAGCCTAGCGTACTAGAGACAGCCATGCCATACTGAATCACAACAACCCACAAACGTATCCTGCCGATTCCCCTCTCGAGTCGTAGTTGCACATCCGATAATCGTGGAAATCGGGAGAAATTCTGCGTGAGTTTCAGCTCGACATCCGCCGATTCTCTGTAGCGTTGCTGTGGTTCTCGTTGTTCGTATGTTGTGTATGTAGCAGGTGCAGTAGCTCTGACTACGCAGCTCAGTGAATGCTCGTTCGCGTGTCTATCACCCGGGGTCGGGATAGCCGATCACCGCCCGGGTGACCTACCGATCCTCGCTGCTCGGAAACTCGCGATTTCCATCCGCCACGGGTAGTGTGATGTATTTTCTCCAATGTTTCAACATCATCACTTTTTTTTTACTCAAAAAAGTTAAAAAAAAAAACCTTTTGTAAGTTTTAAATACATGCAATTCACAAACGTTATTAAAATACTCACCAGTTTGTGTAGTTCCAACTCACAAAACCGTCAAAGTAGATATGAGAAGTACTGCACAATCCCGTATCCCAAAAGTCGGCCTTTGACTTGGATAAGAATAGGTTCCAGGTTTTTTGACAGCAAAAAACTATCAGAGGAGTGTGTGGTGCACCCGTACCGTACTACGGTATTTCTATATACTTGTGGTGCGGCGCTGATATGGGGGTCGGCGTTTTCCAGTGTTTTTCAGTAGTGTAGCTGGGGATACACATTGATCAACCAGCCACTTGTCCATCAAAGCGTCTAAACATGCTGTCTGATTGGTCCGTGCGGCCAGCCCATGCTCTCATTAAATAAACCGGCACCAGAAGATAAGACCACCCCTCGCACGAGATGGTACGTGCCAAGCCGTATGCAGAGTGAAACGCAGACGACCGAAGCTTTGAACGATTCTATTCGAGCCGTGGGGCACGCTCCTGTGGCCTCGGCGTATTCTTCGCAGGTTTTTCTTTGGCAAACACAATGCCGCTCTATTGTTATTTCACCGCATGAAAGGAAACCCAAAGGCCTTTAGTCTTTTCTTCTTTTCAGCAGTGTTGTTAAACTCTCTTAACGGGCAGGATTTTGGACCAACCACAAATTATGAGCCCACGATCGTTCAGCTGTAGGGCCCCAACGCCATTGAATGTGATCACCGTTTCGCGCCTGTGATCACCGTTCAACAACACTATAGGTACACCGCTACAGCATGAGCAGAACTACAATGCAGCTACGTAAGATCGACCATGGAGCTATCAAAAGAATTGTGATGAAGTTATCGGCACTGCGAAACACCTTGTGGTAAAATAGAATCAAATGGACCAAACGCGAAAATGTTGTTTATTATGTGAATAATTATGACTTTTCGCGGGAGTGTGTCTAAGCTAGATAGCTATAGGGCTAGGGATCCCTGTTCTGCATGAATTCGACACACATTTTGTCAATTGTCATTTTATTAAAATTTGGTTAGGAACACTGTGGACGTAAACTGTTTATTATTATTTTTTCAGCAACTCGATAATGTTATGGGGCAACGTGAATAAAATCTAGAATAATAAGTGGCTTCTTAGAACTATATAGTTAGCCATATAGTTTGTTATACAATGGGGCTCCGTGGTTATACCAGAAATTTTAGGGGCATCTCTGTAAGAATTAATAAGGAATTTCCAAAGAGTCCAAGTCCGAGTCCGTGGGGGCACTATATTTCAAGCACAACGACCCGGTTCGAGTCGTTTGAAATGCAAGGTAAACATGTACTGGTTCACAAATTATATACACTGCTTGAAAACTTCAGTCCTCGTTACAAGTAACTTAAGATGAAGGTTGATGCGGAGTGTAATACATCACATGATTATTAATGAATAATAAATGTAAAACTGGTTCATTGTTTCTGTGTCACCACTATTTGACTCGTGCGTTGAACATGACATTGTACCAGAACATCTGAGTAAAAACTCGGCTCCGGTAATTTCATCAGAAGAGTTTACGCCGACAGAAACTTTTGGAAGATATTCAGCTCCAACCAAATTGCGTTGTTGTAGAAAACTACAAGGAAATTGTTTAAATCCTTGGGAAGAAAGGATGAATAATGCAATTTGTGACCAAACAATAAATACCTTTGCCTGTTTACTTGCAGACATACACCATTTCATCTTGCACGGAGGTACGTCAAGACAGATGGAACAACGCCGAGATGCTATTTCAAATCATAGCTGCATGGTGTTGTTTTTTACTACTAGGATGGACTTCCAGATCAATGCTGATAAATATATGTATGTTATACCGGGAACAGAAGGTGTGACGAAAGAAAAGAATCACTGCTGAACCTTATTTTTTTCGCAAACTACTCGTTAGCTGACTACGCAAAGTTTGCGTAACGAGTTTGTTTTAATGTGGGTCGGGGAATGAAGTAAACGAACTTAGGCCTATATAAATTTTTTTCAGTGAGCAACGATATACTGGGTGATATATATACAAATGTAGATCTAGCCAAATCAGCAATTCCGCAGGGAGCTGAGATGGTATGTGGAATATTGTATGGGCTAAACAAGAACTTGGAGCAAGGGTATAACAGCTTTGATCTTTGTTAACAGCGTTACACAAGTTAGCAGAGGAACCGAGGGGTGGGAGTGTAAGTTTGGCCAGGGTCAACCCCCCCCCCCCAAACAAAATGCGATTTTTATACCAAACGGGAGTGAAGAGTGACTTGAAATCGATACGTGGTGTATTGATCCCCTTTTCCTTAGTGTCCAATCAACCTTAAGAGGTATACAGCACCCAAACCAACCCGTCTCAGTGCTTCCGAAAAGATACCTGTGTTCCCGTCGTCTCGCCCCTCCCCTTCCCCCGCAACTTTGTCTCTGGATCCGTCAGGTATCGTTAACAATATAACATACAGGGTGAGTCAAAAAGCGAAACCCAAATGTCGGGACTGTTGTTTTAGTGAAGTTCTGCATGTAGCACTTTCAAAGTCTAGGATATGAAAGCCCAATTCATAAGCTTTCTTTTAGTACAAGAATCATTCAAATCACTCATGCACTTTTCAAGTTACGGAATTTTAAACACAACCACCGTTTTAAGGTTCTGTCCACGGATCACAAAAAAAAAGGTGTGCGTTGATTTAGCAAAACGAAAACCACTCACACACATCCTATAATTATGTGATGTGCTTTCGTTTTGCTGAAAGAACACTTACCTTCTTGTGATTCGTGGACAGAACTTTAAAACGGTGGTTGTGTTCAAAATTCCGTGACTTGAAAAGTACATGAGTGATTTGAAAGATTCTTGTACTAAAAGAAAGCTTATGAATTAAACTTTTACATCCAAAATTTTGAAAGTGCATGCAGAACTTCACTAAAACAATGGTCCCGACATTTGGGTTTTGTTTATTTTGAATCACCCTGGATGTACTACTATAAACAGCTAAATGTACAAACATTATACAGTCATGCACAATTTTTGTACATGTATATCATCTTGATACAGCCTTAATGGGTAAAATATGTTATAGGTATCCGTGTACAATATGTTATAGGTTCATGGAAATATATTGTTTCAATCTCCTGTCTCCGTGTGTCTTTCATCGGGATTTGTAGCGACTGCGTGATTTAGGTTGAGGCAGCCCTGAGCTCACTGCACACATCTTACGGCTGTGTATAACGGACGTGGCACGGGCACGACCCCTCGTATATGGGCCATTTTGCCAGTTCGTTTCTGGAGGGCAGGTTGTTCAACTGTACGGTCTTTGATGAAAAAAAAATGTAAAAGAAATTCGTATTGGTTGACTGCACCGTGACTTGTATGTACCAAGCAATTTCCAGCCATCTTTCTTAACATGACGTCCTGCGCAATGAAAACAAACTAATGCTGATTTATGGTGGTGTATATATTGCACTGCATGAGAAAAAAACCTGGGGTTGATATTTTTTCCACAGCCGAGCAATATACGGCGGGTTTGTGTGACATATTCTCCCTATTTTATTGTGTATTGCCCGGGGTCAGTATAGAGTTGTGCTGAGTTAGAAACAATAAAATGTACTGAAGGTTCTTTAATTAAATAACACATTTTCAAATTCTCAAGTGAAGCCTGAACAGACTCCAGTACGACGTACTATAATGCCAAAGAAGTTAAGCTCAAAACACTTATTTTTATTTTTTTTAATTATGCCAAGTTTTTTCGTGTTTTCAGACAGAAAACGTATAAACTGAATTCAGGTTATATGGCGGTTATAATGTACCTGATAATACGCCACACAAACGCCCACAAACACGCAGTCGTGTTTTACTATACTTATACGAGGACCCCCTATTGTTGTTTTTTCCCTATTGTTCGTGGACTTTTATTTTTTTTCTCGACACGTCCCATAAGTACCTTAAAAACCTTCCGAGGACTTTGGCTCAGGTCCTCGGGCTTATTGTTATCACAGGAAACCCAATGTCTTAAGTCCTCAGACGTAGAACAAGATCACAACTGCCCCCTGCTTACGGGGTCATTTACGTCACCCCCTCCATTTAATGCCACGCCCATGTCTTATCCCCGATTTACTTTCATTGTGGGTCGTGTTCATCGTAAACATGTATTTCATTTGACATATCCCAGCATCATTAATCGACAAATGGGGCGTTTTCATTGGTGTTTCAAGATGGATATATAGCAAGAAAATTTGAGAAAAACTCAGGGTGTGTTTTTTCCTTTACACACTTAAAAAAGTGTCTGTTGTAGATTGAATCAAAGATTTTCCAATTTTTGAAAGAGACATTGTATACAACGTGCCCCTCAAAGGGTCTACGTATTTTGTAGGTTTATAGTATACCATTTTAATGCAAAGATTTTCAATCTTTAATGCAAAAGTAACATTTTAATAACCGTTTTTATTGGCAATGACAACGAAGTCTCCTAACATGATTTGTATCCTTAAGTTTTTGTTTGACATCAGTCTACAGGGTGAGTAAAAAAAACGAAACCCAAATGTCGGGACTATTGTTTTATTGAAGTTCTATATGATGTAGCACTTTCAAAATCTAGGACATGAAAGCCGGATTCAAAAGCTTTTCTTTTTGTACAAGAATCATTCAAATCACTCATGTACTTTTCAAGTTACGGAATTTTAAACACAACCACCGTTTTAAAGTTCTGTCCACGGATCACAAAAAAGGTGTGCGTTCTTTCAGCAAAACGAAAACAATTCACACACATCCCTATGTGATTTGTTTTCGTTTTGCTAGAACACCGAACTTTTTTGTGATCCGTGGACAGAACCTTCAAACGGTGGTTGTGTTTAAAATTCCGTAACTTGAAAAGTACATGAGTGATTTGAATGATTCTTGTACTAAAAGAAAGCTTATGGATGGGGCTTTCATATCCTAGATTTTGAAAGTGCTACATGCAGAACTTCACTAAAACAACAGTCCCGACATTTGGGTTTCGGGGTGTTTTTTTTTACTCATAACACCCTGTATATCGGC